TGAAACCTAGCACTTTTTAATGGACAGTTATTTAACTCTTATAACTTTGTCTTTCTCGTTGATTAAGTAAGTACCTCATGGGGTTTTCAGGATTGAGATACAGCATGTAATTACTTTTCCAGTACTAAATGTATAGGAAACACTAAAAAATATTAACTATAGGGCTGGGAAGGTGGCTCAGTGGTAGAGCACTTGCCTTGCATGCATGAGGCCCTGGGTTCGATTCCTCAGCACCACATAAGCAAAAAGAAGCTCAAATGGTAGAGCACTAGCCTTGAGCTGAAGAGCTGAGGGACAGTGCCCAGGCCCAGAGTACAGGCCCCATGACTGGACCCCCCCCAAAAATATTAACTATAGTGGTTATTATTATTATTACTGTTGTTATCAGCCTCATTTCTACTGCTTCCATAAGGAAAACTAAAAGGGAGCTTATCATCACCTGTGCTCAGCCTAGATTTTAAGAATTTGCTGGATGGATCTTCTAGCTAGATTTTAATAAAGGGTATTCTGAAATTTTACACCATAATTCTATTTAAAATAAGATATAATTCGAACTAAATGACCAATGATAATGAATATACTATAATAAATAATTGGAATTACTGACAGTAAACATTGAGAACAAGAATGCTCTGGATAAAAGAACATTAGAAAGCATTTATAGTATCCAAATTCCAGAACTGCATCCAAAAATATACCTCTGATATGCAAAATTGCTTTCAACTGCAAACTTCCAGGTTTTCTCTGCTAAATTGATTTCTTCCTTTCCTATCACTGATTTCCCTTTTCTCTTGCTGAAGTCCCAGTGATGCAGTGGAAAAGCATTGGGTATGGTGAGTGATAGTTCTGGACTGTAGCTCCAAGTCTGTCATAGTGCAATTTAGCCTTATGTATATCTTCTATCTCTTCTATCCATCTCTTTTCTATTGGGAAATTATGAGGTTTGGACTTAACAATTCTCAAAATGTGGTTGCTGGACCAGCAGGATCAACTTCATTTAGGAACTTGTTAAAAATGTCCACACTCCAGCTCTGATTGGAGGATTCAAGTGTGTGAAAATGGGGCCACTTAAGAGACCCTCTAGTTTTTCCTAGTTACACTAAAGTTTTAAGATTACTGCTTTAGATCAAATTTCTACCTAAAATTTTAGTTGTTAGACCCCATCTCGAGTTTTTCATTGAGTAGATATGGTATGGAGCTTGAAATTTTGCTTTTTTAAAACAGTTCTTGGGCTGGGAATGTGGCTTAGTGGCAGAGTGCTTGCCTAGCGTGCATGAAGCCCTGGGTTTGATTCCTCAGTACCATATAAACAAAGAAAGCTGGAAATGGCTCTGTGGCTCAAGTGGTAGAATGTTAGTCCTGGGCAAAAGAAGCTCAAGGATAGTGCCCAGGCCCTGAGTTCGAGCCCCAGGACTGGGGGGGAAAAACAGTTCTCATAGTTGTTTTGAAAACAAGTCAGATCATCACTCAACTTTATGATTCTATACTCTCTTGCTTTCACAATGTCTTCTTTCCTTTTTTAATTGTGTCTTTCAATTTATTGAAACAGTATCTGGAGCTTAACATGTTGGCTCAGGACATGTTGGCAGCCAGGACAAAACCAGATACAAACAAAAGGACTGAGGGTGTGGCTCAAGTGATAGAGCTCTTGCTCAGCATGCCTAAAGCTCTGAGTTCAATACGCAGTACTGCCAAAAGAAAAAAAAATGTCTCTGGATAATAATAACCAAAGTTGTTGGCATAGTTTGCCTTATAGAATATTACAGAGAGAAAGGAACTTCCCAATTCTTACAGTACATGTTAATATGGAACACATAATTTTTTGTCATTACAAATGACTAAAGCTCCTAACTACTTGAGAGGATAGAACTACATCGGGAGGGGGGCTGGGAAGGTGGCTCAGTGGCAGAGTGCTTGCCTTGGATGCCTGAGGCCCTGAGTTCGATTCCTCAAAACCACATAAGCAAAAAAGAAAAAAGCCAGAAGTGGCGCTGTGGCTCAAGTGGTAGAGCACTAGCCTTGAGCTGAAGAGCTGAGGGACAGCGCCCAGGCCCAGAGTTCAGGCCCCACGACCGGACCCTTTCCTCCCCCACCCTCCACAAAAAAAAAAAAAAAAAAAAGAACTACATCGGGAGGGTCTTCATTTACAGCCAGTCAAATGGAAAAATTCACAAGACTCCTTGAAAACCCATCGCGGGGCATAATGATGCACACCAGTCATCCCAAACTACATGGAAGGCTGAGAACTGGAGGATCTCAGTTCTAGGCTAGCCTGTATAGAAAAGTCCACATGATTCCATCTCCATGGTCAGAGGCTGGACTAAGTGGCAGGCTCCTGTTATCCTAGCAATGAAGGGAAGCCTAAGTAGGCAGATCAGGGATATGAAGCACATGTCTAGGTTAGAGACATGACCCTATCCTAAGGTAATCAGCAAAAATAAGGTTGGAGGCAAGGCTCATGGTGGAGAACTACAGCTTAGCAAACATGATCTCCTGCCTTCAAACCCTGGCACCCCAACAAAACCAAAAAAACCCAATCCTAGCAATTTTCTTAGTTATATACATACAAATGGACACTTACAAAGGAGACAATTTTGGACAGCCAGCCAGATGCAAGAATTAAGGTCTGGTTCCTAGTTGCCATTTGCCTCTTTTGTTTTCTTACCAGCTGAAGAGCTTTAGTGACCACTGTAAAACTAAATTTGTTTCATTAAATGCTGTCTAATATGTAACACTAAACACCCTGAGTTACTTCTTCAAATGATCTTTGTAAGCTCTCTCTTCTTTTTCATGGTTTTCTAGAAACTTGGGATGAGATAATGCTCTGGGAGGCATGGTTGTCTGCTAGGAACATGACCAGCCTCCGCTTGCCAAACTGGATTGTTTAGTTGGTTCATGTTTTCTCTCTTGGCTTGAAGTATGGCTAAGACTTACTGGGTGTGCTTATCAGTAATTTGATCATTTTCAAATACTGAATATGCAAACTACACACAAAAAAGTAACATTACATTACTATTATGTCAGTCACTATATCATAAGCTTTACTTGTCTTGTGTATTTGTTTCTCACAATAACCAGGTGAAGATCACCTTATATCTTCTCTCTCAGGCTTAATATCCCAGTTTCTCTGGCTACTTCTAAAGATCCCTAGCAGAGTTTAACACTTTAGCAAATAATGGTTGGATGAAATATAGAAAGAATAAATAAATATGATGCCCAGACTTTTTGTGCCCCTTGCTAAGGCATTAGGCAGCCATAATGTGTTCTAGGTACATATTGGGACTAGACTTCTAGAGGAACATAAAAGCATTTCCTGCACTGTGCTCTCACTCTGAACCCTGGTCAACCACAAAGAATGGCATTTTGTTTTATGGCTTAGAACAGTGCTCTCATCTTTGACATTTTAGGTTTGTATCTGCTCACAACAAGCTGGAGTTGATCAGCAAACCCATTGCTTTTCTCCAAGGTTAAAGGCAAGACCTGGGCACTAGGGGATCAGCTCCAATTTAAGCAGAATAAGTCTGTACTCTGAGGCACAAAACTTAGGCTTACCTCAGCTAAAATGGAAGAAATAGCTGCTCAAAGCTAGTTTCTTTCACGCCCCACTGGCAAGGTAGTAATTGCACAAAGACCTTTTTATTATAAGTTGATTTTTCCTGAGAAATGAATTCAGAAAAATACTTTAAAGTGTTTATTTTTTGCTTGCCCTTTATTAACCCACATCTTAGGGTTTTCCCTAGAGAAAAACGGTTGGTAAGTGAAACCTCTCAGAAGCATTTCTGCATGGTGTCCCCCACTGGGGAGAGAACAGGGACAGGACAGGGCAAGTTGGTGCTATTTGTACAGGGTCATCAGCTAGGATATGGAATTTTGCCTAAAGAGGAGATTTAGGAATTTAGACAGGGGAAGGGATTGGGGTTGATACAGTTTCTGGTAAATGTTTATATCTTAAATAGATTAGTATGCAGCCCTTTTAATACCTGTAACAAGCCCAAAGATCCTGTGTGAATGAGAATCACCTCTTCTGGTGCATCTTTGTTTTGTATTTTACATGAGAAAAGTCTTGTAGTTTACACTATAAAATTGTGTCCTCTGAGCCAGGACAAAGCTTTGTGTCATGCTCTCCTAGAATCAAGGCAAGCATGCACATAGTAAGGAAGGGAGCTAAGGAATTAAAATGTAATTTCCACAAGCATAATTCTGTCGTAGCTCTTATTTTCTTTATATGGAATACAAATACTGATATAGAGTGAAGATTTTCTATTTTGCATTTTTGTGCTCTTTGATACATTTATTGAGGTCAAATGAAATTTGATATAGTAGGATTTATTATGAAATGCTCTCTGAATACAACTCCATAATTACCTTGCTACATGGTAGTACATAAAACTGTAAAACTGCTTAGCCAGACAAGCAATTTATATGTTACATCGAGGTGTGTATGGCAAAGAATATTAGTTTAATTGGGAACCACGATGTGGTAGCCTTAAATCTGAAGAGCTATATGTTTAATATAATGCAGCGAGGCTTTGGAATAAGATATCTAAAAGGGGAAGATACAGCCTTTGGAATACATAACAATTAGATATTATTTTCTGTCCAAGGGTACTGAATGCTATTTTAAAAATAAAGCATAGAATGCAAAATGGGTGAAAGGGCAAAGCTCTCAATATTGTAGGAAAAGAAGCAAATTTATTTCCTATAGCTCTGTGCTTAAAAGAAAGAAAATAAAAAGAAAATAAATCAAGAAAAAAACAAAGCCACAAACTACTGTCCACTGGAAGTAGAGACAAGGCCAAGTTAAGTAAAGTTATATCCCTGGTAGGTTAATAACCTCTGAAAAAAGAGATCTGGTAGACTTTGTCTGAGTTTTTTCAGCTTGCAAATCTGGAATGAGGTTAGAGGTGGGTACCTAGACATCACTAGGAGTGAAAAAAAACAAATGCTTCTTGGCACACATTTGCTCTCTGTCTGACCATAGGCTCTCTTCTGTTTAGCAGGTTCAGGGTCACATGCCTCCGCTCATGATCCCAATTTTTCCACATGACCAGCGGACCTTGGCAGCAGCTGCTGCCGCCCAACAGGGATTCCTCTTCCCCCCTGGAATAACATACAAACCAGGTAAGTAGAGAAAGCCAGAGATTTTACATTCTTTTGGCAATGTTCAGATCCACATGTTTCTGCTTAGCAGTCACAACAAACATAGGAACATGCAAGGGGGACTGCAGATTTTTTAAAAAGTCATGGAAGCTTCTCTTAAAGTAAATTAGAATTGAGAAGAGCAAGAATCGGAATAAACGTACTGGTTGCTAACACTTTTAGTTTCTGTTCTTCTTGAGATTGCTCCGAATTCACAGATAAAATTTCCTAGAAAATGTTGGTCAGCTTTCTCTCAGAACTTTACAATGAATAATTGTCTCTAGTTAAAGATTTTTTTCTAACTCCCACAAGCCTTTGTCCTCTGGGAAGCTGGTCACATCCAATATAAAATATGTTATTGCTATTTTTTTCTGTCAGATTTCCCTTAGAAAAAACGTTTTGGGCTGATTTAATTAGTTTACAACTAATAGGTAGATTTAAAAAAAACGAAGTCTGAATAATGAAGTATTTAGTAATATTTTTCATTCATCTTTGAACCTCAAAAACAGGTCACATAACCTTGCAATGAAATATGATTTAGCAAATGTTATGATTTTTCTTTATTCCTGTGAGTTTGCTGGACTCCTGGGGAATTCAATTAGGGACATAATGGTTTGAAGCTTCTTTCAGAGCCTCCTTGTAAACAGGGCTTTAAATGTTTAAAGATAGGTTGCCAAAGGAATCCAGTGTAAGAAGATAGTCAAGTAAATAGAAGTCAACCTTAATTTCATTTGTGCATTCTTTGTAAGTGACCTCAGCTCAGAAGTAGTGACCTTGTTCCACTCATTAATAATTTTTGTGTCAAGTTCTTTTTACCACATTAACCTGACTATATTAACTACCAAGTCTGAATGTAACAGATCTAAGTATAGTGATTTCTTTGTATATGTGACATAAAATGAGCAAAAACATTTTAGTATGTTTTGAGCAATAAAGATAAATAATTTCACTAAAATTCTAAAGCAGTTTACTAAAAAACACAGAAACAAACAGTTTTATGTCCATTTTAATTGCTTGCTACCATGTATGCTCTTTTGCATTTCGTAGAGGACTCTCTTCCTTGCAAGAAGATGATGTCTGTGACAAAACTTAAATGATTCAAGGAATAGAGGTGTTAACGGATTAGCTAATTTAAGGGCTGATTGATATTCAAATACAAATGAATCAAAGCTAATACACTTTGAGCATCTCTAATTTGAACATCCAGAATGCTCTCATATCTAAAATGTTTAGGTGAAAAAGTGCAAAATCTTTTCTTCTGACATTTTTTAAATTAAAACTTTCAAAATCCTTTCTTCTAACTTTTTTTTGAAATACATAATTCTACATAATAATAGCTGTGGTCACCCTACTGAGCAATAGACCACCAGAGCTTTTTTTTTCCACCTGTGACTTAGTATCTATAGCTTGAACTTTCCCCATCCCGTTTTCTTCATCCTTTCCTCAGTCTCTGGTAACCACGAGTCTACCTACAACTTCTGTAAGAACAACATTTTTATTCAGATTGCAAAGATGAGTGAGATCATGAAGTACATATCTTCCTTTTGCCTCACATGATGATTGCTAGTTCCATGTATGTTGTTACAAATGATAGACTTTCCTGTCTGTCTTATGGCTAGTGTTCCATTGTCTACATGTGTCTCCCACATGTCCTTTATCCATTCATCAGGTGGTGAATGCTTAGATTCTGCCAACTTTATTTCAGCAATGTTGTTATCAAGGCATAAATTGTTCATATCCTGGGGTTAGATTTTAACCCAGGTACTTAATTCTTTTAGTTACTATTATAACTAGAATTTCTTTATTAGTTTTCTTTGGGGTTGTTTTATAGCCTGTATAGAAAAATGCAACTTTTCTAATACCCTGTAAGTTTACTATTTTTTTTATCTCTACTGTCTTTCTCATAGACTTTTAGGGATATTTTTCTATGAATCAGCCTATTTTCTCTTTAAACAGAAATAATTTTACCCATTTTCCAGTTTAAATTCATTTCATATCTTTTTCTTGTCTATTAACACTGACTAGAATTTCCAGTACAACACTGAATAGAAGAAGTAAAAGTAATAACCACTGTCTCATTCTTTAGTTTAGGAAGAAAAGTTTTAGGCTTACACCAACCGAATTAGCTGAGTCTTAACACTTGGTGATGCTGAAAATTTTTTCTCCTATTCATATTGGATTTTGAAAATGACTTTTTTTGCATCATTTGAAGTGATCCTGTGTTTTTTGTTCTGTTAATTAAATGTATTGTATTGATTTGATTATGTTGAACCACCTTGGTATTCCTAGGATAATTGCTACTTTGTTATGGTGAATAATACTTCTAATATGCTATTGGATTTAATTTGGTAATGTTTCGCTGAGGATTTTACACATATTTACAAGAGGTATTAGTCTTTAATTTTCTTTTGCTATGATGTATTTCTCTGGAATCAAGGTTTTCTTGGCCTCAGAGAACATATTTATTTATTTATTTTGGAAAAGTTTGAGAAAGATTGATATTATTTCTTCTTTAAGCATCTTGTGGAATTCATAGTGAAGCAATGTGGATCAGGGCTTTTCTTTGTTAGAAAGATTATTATTACTCATTCAATTTCTTTACTTGCTATAAGTTGTTGAGATTTCCTATTTCAGCTTGAGTCAGTTGGTTAATTTGTGTGTTCCAAGAAATTTTTATCTTTCTTCTAAGTTATTTAATTGTTTGGTGTACAATCATTATGATTGTCCCTGTTGCTTCTTTTATTGTTTACTATTTTTCTGCCAAGATACATACCATATGTATATGAACAATTTTCATAACTCTAAGATCTAGATTGAAGTAAGTGGTCTTATCTCTATTATTAAGTTAAAAGAAGACACTAAAATATTAAATCAATGTATTATGACATATGATTCATAACAGAATTATATCTACCTGTATATGTATAAATTAAAAACTTAAATATTAAATTAGCTTATTAGGAATTCACATCTAGAAAATAGTGGAGGTGCAGTTAAGACCTAAATTCTGTGATTTGGTACTTTCAACTTGAGAATATGGTCTATGTGTGATCTTAAGAAAATTTAACTTTTATAAGAGAAAAATATAATTTTTATGTGTTAGGATATCTAAATAATAAAGCCAGCCATTTCTGTCTTCCCAAGTGTTTCAAAGCAGAGATATGTAACCACTCTATGAATATTTATATCTACTTGGAACCAAAGAATTTTGTAACTCTTTCATTAGCATGTTCAGTTTTCAATGAGAATGCTGAGATTCTAAAGGAAGTTTTGTGTTTACCAGTGTAAATTCACTTAACTTTATGAATTTAAGAATTATTTTAATGGTGTTTTCGCTTGAATATGGAGGCTATGTAATTTATGAGCTTGTAATTTAAGGCTTGAAGGTTTTCTTGAGATTTCAGTACTGAAGATTGAACTCACAGACTTGCACTGCCAAGTAGGTGCTCTACTACTTGAGCCATACTTTTAGCTCTTTTGTGCTTTTTTTTTTGTTTTGGTCAGTCGTGGGGCTTGAACTCTGGGCCTGGGCACTGTCTCTCAACACTTCAGCTCAAGGCGAGCGCTCTCCCACTTGAGCCATTGCACCACTTCCAGTGTTCTGAGTGGTTTTTTGGAGATAAGAGTCTTACTGAATTTCCTGCCTGGGCTGGCTTTGAACTGTGATCCTCAGATCTCAGCCTCCTGAGTAGCTAGGACTACAAGCATGAGCCACCGATACCCAGCTTTTGTGCTGTTTTCATTTGAGGAACTATCTTGAGTTTTATGTCCAGGCCACTTGGACCATGATCCTCCCACTTGTGCTTCTCTATGTTGCCAGGGATGACAGATACATGCCATTCTACCCAGACATTGTTGTTTCATCTCTAGCTGGGCTAGCAGGTGCAAGCCATAATGCTCAGCAATTGGTTGAGACTCTCAAACTTCTTTTTTCCCTAGGTTTGGCTTTTAAACCCTATTCTTTTGATCTCAGGCTCTCAAGTACCTGGCATTAAGGGCTTGAGCTACTGTACCTAGCCAAGACCTACCTGAGCTTTGAGTTCAGATGATCTTAGAAAAAAATTGAGGGTCAAGAATATTTTCATCATTGATATTTTTAGATGATTAGGGAAGAAAAAATCAGGAAAAATAAGAGTATGATGATCTCAGTAATCTATACTATAATCCTTTCAAAATTTTTGTTCTCAGAACAAATTGAAGATTTCATTTTAGTTTTTTAGTCCAAAGTCCTAATTTTTGCTACAGTGTAAAGATAAATCCAGACTTATTACATTCACATTTTTGGACAGTCACTACAGAATTTGGAGTCCTGACTCCTACTTGTGTGTGTGTGTGTGTGTGTGTGTGTGTGTTTCCTTTTCTTCTCCTCCTCCCAAAGACTCTAAATGACTCCTATAATATATTAGCATCCAAAGTTAGTATCTCAGGATCTATGACTCTCCCAGTCATACTTGTTCTTTTGAAGAATGCAAGTTAATTAGAAAGACTTTTACCAAGTCAATTTTTTTTGTTCTTTTAAAAAAGTGGAATTTATGTCTAAACTATGCCAATTAGGAGTATTCTTGCAGAAGACAGCATGAGTCTTGGTTGAAGTTTCATTTCCTATTAAGTTCTGGATTCATTTCTCTCTAAAATTTAACAGTTTACATTCTCTCATTTAGGACTTTTGTTGTGATGCCAGAGGAACATATCTTATTCTGATAAGTAAAACTAATGTTAAGCAACTTTTCCATAGATTAAAAAAATTTGTTTTATAGTTGTTCTGTAATCTTCAGATAAAAACAAATTAGAATACATGGAGGTTGGCAAGACAGACTTGCAGAAAGTACATTATCATGTCCCAAATTGGTTTCTGGGGATTGTCTTCTTACACTACAGGTAACAAGGGCTAAATTACAGTTGTGCCTAAAGCCAACCTGTTCCAACAGGCTTTCTCTTCCTTTATTCATTTTAAAAAGAATGGTTCCTCACGCAAGCATTTGAAATTTGAAAAAAAAATTGCTGTAACATGTTGACTAATTGCTTGCCAAGCCAGCTAGTGAGAACTCTTCTTGATCAATTGTTATACAGAACAAAATCAGAGAGGATAGAGAAAACTTGCCCCTTTATTATCAAAAACTATACATTACTTTCAAATCTTTCTCCCTCTTAAGTTTTTTTCTCCCATTTTTAACCTCCCTCTCTCTCTCCTATCTTTCTACTTTTTTTTCTCTCTTCCAAGCATACCACTCTTTGTGGTATACCTTGTTGCTCCGATAGATTCATTTTTTTTTTAATTTTAGAATTGATACGGTGATATATTTTGAAGAAATAGCTTTCTAAAGATACATTCAAATAAACAGATTCAACCCCACAGTAAGGTTAGAATGTTTTGGTTTTTTAAAAAATATGCTTGTTGACAGTGGAAAGAAAACTGAATGTAGCCAGCAGGTGAGCTGGAGAGTACTACAGGGTGTGGTAGAGATAGTAATAAATTAACTGGCAAGCCAAAAACTATATTTAAAAAAAATCAACTATTTCATAGCACAGAAGCATGACAGCTATGAAAAAAGGAGTGCCCCAGGGAATTCTTTTAGTTTGATTTTTTTAAATATGTTTGACATGAAAAATGTTTTAGTACAAATAAAGCAACTGGTATTAAACTTACGGGGTGGGGGTTGTGGTTTTGAGTTGATATGAATAATGCATGATATTTAAAGAAAGAACAGCTTTAAAATGTTCCAGGAGGCAGTCCATGTTGATGGTTGCAATGGTGATTTTCCCCCTATTTTTTGAAACATCATTAATTCAGCATCGTTTACAGTTTTTTTAACCTGATAAGACATCAACCAAAGAAGTACTGCTTGACTTATATAAGATATTCTTTCTTCAGATAATTTAGTTCACAGATGAAGATCAGTAGAATTATTTAAGCATAAAGCAGTGACAGTCATTTACTATAAAAATAATTTGGCCTAGTTATCTATTTAAAAAGCTCATATAATACTGAAAACTAAAATCAACCTCATGGAAGGGGAAAAACAAGATCAGATATTTTGAACATTACTCCATAGGAGATCAGCACAATATAGTGTTAGTGAATGCATTGTAGCAGCGCTCCATATGCAATCAGAAGCCAATTGTTACTGGACTGTGTACAAGCACACACTGTGCTCAATGGTCTGATGAGGTATTATGGATATGATGCAAGGAGAGTGTGTCGATTAGAAGCTAACAATTTGTTAAAAGTGAACGCGACTTCACAGTTACATTGGACCAGCTGAGTGGCACTTCATGTGGCAAACAGGATGAGTTCCAAGGAACCAGGGACACTGGGAAGGGTCCAGGTACTAGTGTCTGTGCTGGGGGAAAAAAGGGAGTATGTGTGGTGGGGAGGGGCTTACTGCTGTCCAGTTGACTACTGCTGTTACAGTGACTCTTTATACAGTGTCTCTTTATTATTACATTCAGATTTCTGTGCGGAAAAGTTCATGTAAAACAGCATGATTATTATAAATGTCAAAAATGTGTGGAGGAACAGCCTATTAAAATATAGCCTAGAGATACTACATAACACTGACTTTAAATAAGTAGCTGAAGCCAAAGTGATAGTACAATAACTCACTAATGTTGTGTGATTTTTTCCCCCCACAAGTATTATTTTTTTCTTTAGTTACTTCCTCTTAGTTCTTCAGGTTGCTGGCCACAGAGTGCTTAGCTCATGGAAGGTACTTTAGTCCCCTGTTGAGGAGTGGACTGGAGTTAGGTGAACATCAACATGTGGTATGGGCCCCTACTAAACTACACCCAATCTATACCAGGCTTTTGATATAGATACCCCATGTAAAATATGTAATCAAATCATCATCATTGATGATCATCATGATCATCATCATTGATTGGTGCTTAGTAGGCACAATTCTCTACTAGGTTCTACTAATCAAATCCTAGAAGTTAATTCCCCCCAAAACTGTTTTTCATTCCCACTAAGGGATACCACACATTTCACAGAATGTTAATAAATAATATACTTTCCCTCTCTTCCCTGTCAATAATAATAAGAGAAGTTGTGTTTTTAAAATGTTTTCTATTTTTTATAATATAAAGTTTAGAGCTATGGAAAATCAATAGCTGATAGTCTTTTGTTGGACTCTCATACTTTGCCTTATTTACCAAGCCAAAACTTTCTATTGTTCAAGTAGAAAAGCCTCAGTGTTTTCACAGTGTACTGAGTGTCAGCCTGGCTTAAGATATTTTTTTACTCTTAAAAATGATGTATTACAAGATTTGTAATGGAGTGAACATGCTTGAATTGCACACTTAATTTTTTTTTTTGTATCACATTCATGTTTTGCCAGTTTGCCTACCAGCTATCTGTTAACGAAAAGTTCCAAGGCAGTACTGCAAGTCTGTGCCCAACCAAGCCTTTTGTTTCTGCAGATGTTTGGGCTTAGAGCAATGTTGTAAAGCTCAGGCAATCCAAAGGCCATGTTTGTACTTGTCTGCTGAGATTCCCTGTGCATTGTCTAAACCTGTATGCATTGTTCTTTCTGACAGGTGATAACTACCCCGTACAGTTCATTCCATCAACAATGGCAGCTGCTGCTGCTTCTGGACTCAGCCCTTTACAGCTCCAGGTAAGTGCCAGAAGAAAAAAAAAAAAAAGAAGTGGGCCATGAGCCAGTGCTTTAGTTGGGGGAAAAAAACTGCAAACCAGCTGTATGCTAAATAATGGCTTGAATGTTAAATAATTTTAAAGCCCAGCCCGCAAGGATTAACACCTTATGTACTTACCATTCTGCAAACAGAAGAGAAAATGGCCAGTTTCAATAAGTTCTAAAGGAAATTGATACAATTTAGTGCTGTCTATTTTCTGTCAGGTTAGTTAACTGTTTTACAGTTTTTATGATTAGTTATTGAATATGTTAGCTTTTTCCTTACCAACTTCTTATCTATGTTTTCACTGTAGCTGGATTAGATTTTACATGGAAACATCAAAACAGAGGGTGATGTTAGATATTGTCCTTCTTGTACATTATAGAATAAGTTATTACTTCCAAATTACTTGATCATTTGGTAAATGTAAACAAATTGTGCAATCCTATTATTCCCAATGTCAGCAGTCTGGGCCTGTTGTCTGACCAAGTTCTGGATTAAGGTGCTTTCTAAATTTAAGGAGAATGTATTTAGAAGACTGAGTGAAAAAAATTATTTTACCTTACCTTCTTCACAATAATATAAGGAATTTGGAATAGGACCAGATATTTTTTTCCCTTCTACTACAGCCATTGGAATGGTAAATTGACTTAAATATATATATAGTGTATGTATGTATATATGTATATATACATGTATATATAAACATTGAATATATATTTATACACACATATATATGAGTGAACACCAACAGACAAATATTTGGTATTTGAATATGCTAAAGATAGGTGGGCCGAGTGCCAGTGGCTCACGCCTGTAATCCTAGCTACTCAGGAGGCTGAGATCTGAGGATCACGGTTCAAAGCCAGCCTGGGCAGAAAAGTCTGTGAGACTCTTATCTCCAATAAACCACTAGAAAACTGGAAGTGGTGCTGTGGCTCAAATGGTAGAGTGCTTGCCTTGAGCTGAAGAGCTGAGGGATAGTGCCCAAGCCCAGAGTTCAAGTCCCACGACCAACCAAAAAAAAAAAAAAAAGATAGGTGGTAAGACATAAGTTTCAATGAAACAGTTCATTAAAAATAATTTTTATTCTTACCATTTATTGTGATTGTTTTTGAGTTCTCTTTAAAAATCTAGAAGAGTGCATTTAGCTAGACCTTTTTATTTCTGTGTTGCTATTCCTTAAAAAATTTGAGCATAAAAAGTATACAATTTTTGTGCCATACAGAAACATTTTGGACATTTTCAATTGGACTTACAAGTAAAGAATTTTTTTCAGCACATAAGAAGTTTGTGTTTCAAGCCTCTATCCCCCAGCATAGGCTGTTGGGTAGAGCCAGAAAGTTTTTCCAACAGAAGCAGCAGTCTTACCTGTCTTGCAACTCTTGTTTCCACACTACTAACAATGGGAACAACAGCAGCTGGTAAAAATCTCAAGAGCCCCCTCACTATTGGTAAAAACCTAACCTGTTTCTCCTATTGCTATAGCTGATCTCTGGAGTAATTTCATGATTCAGAGGTGGAAATAAGAAACCAGTACCACTGGTTGAACCTATATAACCAAGATTCTATTTTTTTAAAAAGACAGAAAGGCTGAGTCTTAAATAGTCTACTTTCCATTCTTGATGTGGTCAGTACCCAAGATTTAGATATATATGTTGTTTCATGAGTTCTGACAGTGTGTTTTGTCTTTTTTTTTTCTGAATATGCTACTAAACAGAAGGGTCATGTTTCTCACCCACAAATTAACCCAAGGCTCAAGGGCCTAAGTGACCGTTTTGGCAGGAATTTGGACACCTTTGAACATGGTGGTGGCCACTCTTACAACCACAAACAGATTGAGGTATGAATGCTTCCATTGATACTTCATTGGGTGGGGACTGGATTGTTCAGTCATATTCTAGATTTTTTTTAAAGTAGCAAATATTCAAACTAAACCTGATCTTTCCTTTTTTTCTTTTATATAAGGAAGTTTTTTCTTTGGCTCCTTTTCTTTCAGACAAAAAAGGTAAAACTGAAACCAAGCCCTTTTATTAGATTCTTCATTGTTATACAAATCTAAATTCTTTACATTCTGAGTACATTCTGAGTATTGTTAAAGCCATCTTCCTCTCACCTTTTAACCTTTTCTTTTTTTTGAGAGAGAGAGAGAGGGCAAATTTTGGGTCCTTTATTTTAGAGCTAGTGGACTGCCGAAGGCTAATTACAAAGATCTGCAGGCTTTAAACCTTTTCTTAAGTATAGTGTTTAACAAATACTTAGATATTTATACATTATTTTCATTTTCATATGTGATAACCCTGAAAGCGTGATAAAATAGAATTCTGCTTGCATAGGTAAATCAGAAAGATCAAATGATTTGAACAAATCTGAAAAATATTTGTTGAGTTAGGGTTTTTGCCCAGAACTTCTATATCTACCAAGTTCAGGATTCATAACTTAGTTTTCTCAGACTAAGGATGAATATTGAGCCAGGCTTGGTAGCTTTTTGCATCATAAACTTTTATAATATCCTTTTCATATTTAGTCTTCCAGTAAAGCTTTCTGTTGTTTTGCAAGACAATCTTACTACTTGAGAGAAAATAGCATATGTGATTCTTTAAAAATGAAGTCCTTTTCTACGTCAGGGACCTATTCCTCTTTGCTACAATTTCATACTTAATTCTTAATTCCTGTAACATTGGAGTATCTTTGGGACTGTCAGGTGTTGGAGGGTTGCCAACTATCTGTTGAATTAAAAAGCAAAAGGATAGAGAGTGGTTAACTTAAATTGGAGAAGTTTAATTTTCTGGGTGCTATCTAATTTCTAACCCTAGAGTGGGAAACTTTAAGCGATCTGACAAGATCATATATTTTCATCTCTTATTGACTCTATCCGTGTATACATATCAAATGCTGCAATCAATTGAGGGTTAATACCCAGGATTTCTTAGACATTATCTTCTCCATTGTTTTTGAATCTGTCCTTTAGAAAAATGATAGGGAATGATTACCCCTAAGAAGGAAGAAGCCAAGATCAAAGGCCACCTTGGAAGTAGCCTAAGGAAGGGTTTCAGAATTCATTGCCTGCCCCCACTTTTCCTCTTTCATTTTGATATAAAAGGTAGTCAGGGGGTTTCCACTCAGACATGACCAGGCAGTATCCTGTCTTCTACACAACCAGAAGAGATTTCTGTCTAAGACTATAGAAAGGATGCCACATTTCTGGGAATTTTGGAAATCTATGCTTAGAAGACCTAAAATGAGATATCTAAGCAGGAGCACTTTTTTTTTTTTTTGTCTGTCATCCAGCTTGAACTCTGGGCCTGGATGCTCTCCCTAACCTTTTGTGCGCAAGACTAGTGCATGAGCCACTGCTCAACTTCTGACTTTTTGTGGTTAATTGGAGATCAGAGTCTTTATGGACTTTTCTGCCCAGGTTGGCTTCAAACCATTATCCTCACACTTTACCCTCCTGAGTAGCTAGGATTAGAAGCATGAGCAAACTTTTGTGTGTGATGTTAGTTAGGAAGCTTACCCACTTAGAACAGTTAGCCTGAAGAGCTTTTAAATGCTTAGAAAATAAAAGAATATAGTCTTGGTTCAAATTCAAGACTTCATTCCTTTTTCACTTTTATTCTCTGTTGAGATACTGTGTTTTATGCTATTATTCAGGTTTCTACTAAATTTCTTGTTTTGACTACATTTTTTAACTTACATTGGTTCTTTTCTGCCTCCTGGCCTTCTCTTCTGACTTCAATTCCTGGGGTGTCAAGTCTGGCTTCTGTTTGTTTTCCGGACGTCATGATGTTTTGTATATGACTTCCAGAGCTGTGTGGTGTCACAGCAATGCTGATGTAGCAGCACAGCAGATACTACATGTCTGCCACTTGAATTAGGCTAATTAAGACCCACTAATGCAAGACCCTTCATAACTTTGCAGTTGAGTGTGGCTCTTTTTGAGTTTCCTATTTCATCTATATTTTTGCTCTGTTTGCCTGCCTCCACTCATTGTACTTTCCCCCTGCATATCAGGAAACCTGTTTGTTTGTATGGTACATTGGCTAGAAAAGACCGATATTGTTTGAAAAGCAGCTTCCCCAAACTCTCCTAGTGTGAGTATGGCATTTTTATAGGGATCTTCATGAACAGCATAGTAGACATCTTTAGCTGAGCCAGTAGACAATTATATTTTAAATTTTGAGCAAAGGTAAAAGGAAATTTTTAAAGCATCTTATTTTATTGTTATTAAAACTCCATTTTCTTTTCGGCAAGGATCATTGCCCACCTTTAACAAGCTAAAATGTTACAGTTCCATCAATAATCATGATTATGATAAATTATTGATACCAAGGAATTATTACAATTATGTTAACAGATTTGGTTTATAAAGAAAGACTTTCAGGAGGAAAACTTAACAATATATTTCCCCTAGCATATTGATCAAAATGGATCCCTTTATCTAATGTAAAAGTTAACTTAGTCATCCTTCATGCCATGCCATTTCTAATATTAATGTTCTTGCATAAAACCTCATCAGCAATAATAGAACATGAACTAGAAACATGAACTTTTCTATTATGTAGACAAAAAATACTTCAAATGGAAAGACTCTTCTTAAGTTGACGTATTTTACTATGCTCTTTCTTTAAAAGAAGGAAAATACAGGGAAGACCCTTTTATAACCATATACTACTTTGCTCATCTAAGGCTTGGTTTACTCTGCCTCAGGGGCACAATACTAGAAGAGAGAAGACCAAAGAATGCTATTTTTAGTTGAGCAGTTCAGCAGATGGAAGCATGGCTACTAATATATCTGAAGGTTTAGGGGCTTGAGCCATTAATTTTGATAATGTATTTAACCCTGGGAACAATCAGAAACTATAGCTCTAAGGTTACAATGCTTTTGACCTTTAGAGAACAGAGGGCATTTACTACAGTAAACAATATATTATGTTGCTACTTATTCTAATGCTCTCACCCTTATAAATTTCTGGATTAGTTGAAATTTGCTTCCTTAGCTATATTATCATTGGTTTTTAAGAAAGTAAAAAAGGATGTTAAGTAAAGGGACCAATATAATGAGGCAGTCATGTAAACATGGCCTTTAAATAGTTATGGTGTTCCATTTTTCTAAAGGTCTGTTGTGTCTGGAACTAGGTTCTGAGTGACTTTTTAATGGAAAAGTAGTTTTAGTGTATTGATTTGTTGTATTTGATTACTTATTTACAATAAGATGGGTCTTTAATTTTGTTTTTTGTTTTGTTTTGAATTGGGAGTAACGTTGCCTCATAGTTGTAGTTTGCATTATACATAATCTGGTACTATATGCAAAGTGATACACCTGACTCATGCCTTCTTATTAAATGATGCATGCTTCTCTTCAGCAAATACAGCAGTTAAATACCACATAGCTTAAGAATTTCTAATTAAAATATCTCCACATGTCAGCATATTGGTAATGTATTATTTTAATCCATTTATTTTGTTTATGAAACAGTGACATATGTTTAGATTGTGAAATATATGAGGCTTAAAAATCACTTTATTGAAGAAAATTAATTCCTACAATACTGTCTGAGTAATGTGTTCACTCACCCAGTCAGACACTGGCAGCACTGCCAGTCTTAATGTTGAGTAGACACACTTAGCCATCTCAGAACAGTCTTAGAAGGAAGCATAGCAGTTCTTTTTCTTACCTTCAATTGACAGAGATTTTCTCTCTTTCTTTTTCTTATTAATTCAAACCTGCACTCCCCTACCCCACCCCACCCCCGCAAAGAAAAGAACACTTCTTGTTACCCTTTTTATAAAATACAATGAAAGACAGGACTGGGTATTTGTATAAGGGATTCTGAAAGGCCAATCAAAATTAAAACAGCGAGCTACCTTTTCAAAGTTAGACATAGTAATTTGTTTGTCAGCAGGGAGATGTTTGGTCAGCCCTGAGATAAAGTGACTGTCAGCAGTTATTCCTACAAGACAAGTAATTTCACTCAATGTATTACTGACAGATTGCTCACTTCTCCGAATCACCAGAGAAAACAAACTTAATATTGTTACAGGCAGAGTTTCTGTCTTCATTAGCTCGAGAGAATGATTTTTATCGAGCATTCAAAGTCCACCAAGCTTTAGTTGGAACATATTTTAACAGACTAGTTCTTATAATGATAGCATGAGGTAATAGCCTGAGTGAAGAAATTGCATATGAAAATTCAAAACATACTCATATAAATACTTTTTCACTTTTATTTAATGGGTATTTTGTTTGGTTCTGAGGAAAAGTCTTGCTAAGTTTGCAAAGATGGAAGAGAACAATTGAGGTTTTTGCAAAATGAATAGTTGCACATATTTTATTTAAATGATATTGTCAATTTACTCGCTACAAATAGAAAGTGAAGAAGTATTTGCCAACACGGGGAATGTTTTATTGATATTTTAGTTCAAGACTGAATCTTTATGATATTGTATTTATATGTTCTATATGTAGACATGCCTAGGTGCTCTGGGAGAATGGGAGAGTAAGCTAAATTTTCAGGCCATCCTTGCAAAGTTGTGATTCTAATAGAAAAGAAGGTTGAATGAAGAGTTGATTAGAATGACCAATTCCTGGCTACCCAATGGTGAAAAGGAATGCATTGAATTTAAAGCTTACTTTGAGGATACAACCATAGAGTTGTGCTTGGGGAGGAAATGCTTGATTTTTTTTTTTGGTTTTAATCAGCCTTCACTCAATCACCTATGTCTTCTGACTTTTAGAGTATGAGGGAACATGAAAGGACCAAGGCAGCTAGGAGTAGATGAGTCTTGGGCTAATGGAACATGTTCCACCTCTGGAATCAGAACTTTGAGCTAGAGTTTTCA